GGTAGGAACTGTAGGCCTCTAATTTCTCTGCCATGAGTCAGACAAAATATCATTGCAGTCAGTGAAGTGACAGCATTTTTAGTGGAATAGCTTTTCAGAAAGGAATTAAATATATTCTCTGTTCTTGTAGTTCACAGCTGTTCCTAGTCTGCAGAGGAGTAGACAGTTCAGAGCTGCAAGTGTTTTATTGCAAATTAGGATAAAATAGTGCACCTTGGAAGAGCTCTTGTGATGCTGTGGAGCTCCACAACAACTAAACAAAAGGCAAGTATTTTATACATTCATTTCATTACAGTGAGAGGGGAGATGTGAGCACAGAGAAAGAGGGTTAGTTAGAAAGAGGGCATGAGTGTGGCCACAGGCAGAATAGACTGGGGTAGGAGTGTCTGCTGTTCAGCCATGTGCCTTCTCAGTGGGACAACCTTTGGCTGCCTTAGGAACACTGTCGTGCTTCCCAGCAATTTAATTATTTAAGAGCAGTGCTTTTAAGCTTGTGCAATACCTTTCCCCTCTGTATTTATGTACCTTGAGGTCTTGTCTGTGTGTAAAAGGGAGCACTTGGATCAATTGAGCTACCACAGGTCCAAGTGGGACTCACACCTGGCCCGCTGCAGCTGTCCCATCACTCAGCCTCCCAGACTGGGACTGCCCTTTCTCTTGGTGACCGTGACCAGTGCCAGCATTTGGCACAAATACAGGGCACAAACTAGGATCACACCTCTCCCTCTGTAGCTGCAGCACTGGACTCCAGGCAGGGAGAGACAGCCCATCCTCACAGACAGGAAGTTTTATGCTGGTTTTCAGCCCATCCCTTCCAAAGAGAAAGACCATCCTACAGTTTGCTTTTTATTTTTTCTCTGCTGACAAAGGACATCCATTAAAAATTATAATATTACGCCAATGAGCATTATAATGGCTGTCAGTGTTTTGCCTGTAAAATAATGATGGCAATGCCTCCTCATGTTTCACTGATTGCAGAAGAAATCAGAGGGGAGGAAGAGTGGGGTTGGACTTTCCAGCATGAGAGGCACATGGCTGATCATGGACTCTACAGGTACGGCAATTTTGGCACTAAATCTTTGTGGTGCTGTTAACTACAGCACATACTGGGAACTGCAGTATGACTGTAGGTGCCAGGACCACATCCATCATTCTTAAAACAATGCTACTCTTGGTTTTGACCTGCCCTGGCTGTCTTGACTAATAAAGGTACTGGAAGTGTCCACACATTTTAAAGCAAAAGGAGGTTATTTCCTTACATTGTGACCTGATGTGTGATAAAGAGATATGGGCAACAGCCTTTTCAGATAGTGGCTATTTTCATTGGGTAATGAATAGTCTCATGAGATCAGTATTATGTGTTCCAGGTTTTGTTAAGAGGTTTTCATATCTTTATTACATGGACCTATGTGCAGCTCCAGGTCTAAAGGGTGAGGTGGGTCTAAATGGTCCTATGCTCACCTAGGTGATGAAATGGGGTCTTGCCTACCAATTTGTCAGGTTACAGTTCCTAAATTCCTCCTCTCCCTGTACATGCCACTCAATGTCTAGTCAATGAAATCTGCTTGGCCCATGGTGTATATTATTAATCTGTGCATGTCCCAGGGCTGAGGAAGATGTGCAGCATTTTGAAGGAAAAGGTCCATGCTGAGAAATCAGAAACAAGATTGGAGTGCCCTGCAGATGGCCCACAAATAATTTGTGTCTGTAGGCAAATGTCAGCAAGAGCACTGAGCTGTACTGGGTATCTGAGCAGTTTGTGCATGAGTTAGTTATGCAGAGTATTAACATAGTTCTGTTTTGAGCTGGAGCTCAGTTCAGCCTCCCAGAAATAAAATGAAAATGCAGCAAAAAGAAGGGGTCAGCCCCTTCATCTGCCTTTCCAAAAAGGAATGTTTCATACCTGCTAGGCCAAGCTAGCTTTTAATTTTCCCCTGATCAAACTATTTGAAAGAGAGTTACTTTAAAAAACCCAAACCGCTTCCGGAACAGCAGCCTTCTCCACTACTTTTGTTAGTAACCTTCTTAGCTGTTCTGCAGGTGATCAGAGCTCTCCTCTCTCCGAGAGCTTGGCAGAGCCATTTGCTGTGCCCTGTGTGAAGGCTGGCATTGCCTGTCTCCCTCCTGGCTGCAGAGCTGCAGTTGGGCATAGCTTACACCAAGCCTCCTGGCACTGCAAAACCAGTCCCACAGGTGAATAACCTGAGGGCTGCAGCTGTTGGAAAGAGCCATTTTGCACCTGAACACTGCTAAGCAGTTCTGTAGTAAACTAGATATGGGGCTGAGAAGGGTGTGAGGAATGAGCAAAGCTTCCTGAGTAACACCTAGAATGAGCAAACAATAAACTTCCTTTGTCTGTGAAGAGAAGCCATGGCTGTGACACAGGTCTGCAAAATGTGCAAGATGGAGCAGGTGATTACAGAGTGATCTTTACTGGGTTTTCTAATAAAATACTTGAGGATATAAAATGAAACAAGCAAGTGGCAGGTAAAAACAAATCAAGGACAAGTACTTTTGTGTTTAAAACTTAGTGAAGCTGTGTGACTGTGGGGCTTTGAGGATATCGTGAATGCTTAAAATTAATGTGAGTTCAGAAAGTAATTGGAAAAACTGCAAAATGCAGGGACAGTGCTCCTGTTTCAAGGCATCCCTGCCTGGTACCTTGCAGGAAACTGGAGCACAGGATGGTTCTTGCTATATGCTCTTAGCCCTTGTGGAAGACCAGCTGGTGCATTACAGGACCTTCAGTCCAGCTGTATACGGCCTTCCCTGTACTACACTGGGCACTGACAATCTGCTGGGAGATGAAACACACATGCCAGGGCAGACCTCACTTCTCCACCCATGCCTGGGCTCTGTTTATGAGCTGTACAGCAGTGTCATACATCATCACAGATCTTTTCTGGAGTCTGAAGTTTTGGCTTCTTCCTGGGGAGGTGGCCACAAGAAATCAAAAGTTGTCACAGTAGGGGATGCAGCCAGTTATGCCACATGATGGGTCCTGTTGTGACATGTCTCCACACCCCGTCCACCCCCAGTATTTGTCAACATGGCCGGGCATCTGAGTTAATCTTTGTGATGTTCTTTTCCCCAGAAAAGCAGTCAGAAGAGTGAAAGTCCTTTGGACATCCAGTGCTTCTCTGATCAGATCTATGGTTTTTCCTGTAGCCATGACAATACATTTTACCCATCTACTTTGCTGTGAAATGCCAGGACCCCCTCTGTTGGGATGTCGTGGTGGTGCAGTACCTGAGGGCAGCCCAGATTTGTTCTGCATGGTGGGCCACAGGCTTTGGGCAGAAGTTGCCTATCCGGACACAAACAATTCACTTCTTTATGACTCCATTTTGTTCCTGTCACTAGAGAGTCATTGTGATCTAGGAAGGGTCTCCCACTGGTGAAAGAGAAGGAGAGTGCAACAGTTTCTCCAAAACCAGCTTACATCAGTGAGCTAAATAAAGGGCTTGCACTGAAGAAGTCTCAATCTGGGGTAAAACCTGCCCCAGCACTGTGAAATGACTCCTGTCATTGCCCTACAAAGCTGCAAGGCTTTTGTGTTTCCCTTCCTGGCTGTTTGCAGAGATGGCAAGGCCAGGGCTGGGCAGAACATGCAGAAATTTTTTCTATCTGTGTAGGACCCATAGGGTCTTGACTTTCCTATTGATCTGCTGATTTAGGTGTTTGTACTATATCACCTCTGTTGTGTCCAAACTGGCTATTAACAAGGCTTTGATAGGGGAGAGGATTATGTGCAATCTAACAGGACAAATCCAAGCTGTGTGGTGCTGCAGCAGCAGTGTGAGCATGCCTCAGGGATTAAGCAATCTGATGAGCTGGCAGTGGTTGGGCACCAAGCACTGTGCCTGCCTGATAACGTCCTGTACCTGTCATGTTATTCTTATCCTTAATCTATTGTGTTTATAGACCCAGGTAAACAGTTAGCACACTCTCCCTTAATGCTCTGCATCTGAGTGGTTCATGATGGGCTTCTCCTTTCGAGCCTCTGCACTGCCCAAGACACACATGGGGCTCCCATCAGAGGCTGCCCAAGCTCAGTGGAGCAGCAGCATCCCTGTGGCCATGCTGCAGATTAAGATAATTTCACAGGCTTGTTTATTCCTGCAGGTCTGGGTCAACAGCTTTGCAGCTCCTGACACTTCCAGCAAAACCTCCACCTCTAGTGGAGCAGACCAGCTCACTTTCCCACAGCAGGTGCATCAAGTGGTTTGATTTTTAACACAAATGAAGGAGTTGGTTGTTTGGTTTCTGTTAACCTTTTCCTTGAAATGTAGCTATTTCAGTAAGATAAAACATTTTAATGGGAAAGAAAGAAAAAAGACTCTTTACAAAGAAGTAGCATTTTTCCCAAGAAGAAGCCTTTATTTTTAATTGACTGCCATACTGATGAATAAATATGAGTCTTCACTGAAAATATTTTCTGAAATAGTAGAAGTTTCAGCCCACTTGTTATGGGATTTGTTAAAAATAAATAAAAGTTCTTGAGAAGCAAATATGATGATATGTCCCTAGATACCTTTTCAAAAATAAAATCTGTCCCAGAAAATTCTGTGAATGTCTTTGTTAGAAGTAGGATTGTGCCTGAGAGCCCGAGAAGAGTAGATGGAACTAAGCATGGAAAAGCCATGCCAAGTTGGATGAAATGTAGGTTTAAACAGTAGAGATTCACCGTGGCTTTTTATTATTGTTTCTGTTTAAACTATTTAGAGTGGTATTGATAGTTTCTCACATGATAAAGGCAATAATTGTAGTGTGACAAACACAGCCATTCTTGCCTTAAAGAAATAGGAAATGCTGTTTCCTTTCCTCCAACAATTTTTTACAAAAAATTAAGGGGTTTTATGACAATGCTATTCCTTTTATTAACTTCTTAATGCAGTGTTCTGTGGTATTTATTTGTAAACAGTATGGTCAGATGCCTGTTCTTTCTTTAAACATATTGTTACATTCACAAATGTTTGTCTTTTTGCTAACAGTGTATCATCTGTAAAATAAGGTAAGTCTGTGAAATGATGTTAAATGAGCGAAGTTCAGCTCTGGTTCTCAGCTTTGGATGGGTCACTTGACGAAAGAGATGCACCATGTAGACAGTCCAAAGAAGTGACAAAAATTATGAAAAAGCTGGCTTTGAGGAATCTGAAGGAGCTGTGGTTGGTTAACATGGAGGCTGAGGTGTCAAGCCCAGTGAGGATGACTGCAAAGGGTTAATTCCTGTGTTAGCCAGGATGGGCTGACACCTATCAGGGAGATCTCGGATAGGCAATAGGAAGAAGTTTCTTGCTGACAGCAAAGCACTGAAATAGGTGGCCTGAAAGGGCTGAGGTTGGTATCCTCAAAGGCACTGATTAGAGACTAACCATGATACAAGCTTTGAGTTTAGGGAATGGGCCTGATGACCTTCAGATCATGTTTGCCATGAAAGCTGGGATTTATTAATTTTTAATGATCTGACTTCCTAAGGCTGTAGCTTTGGAAGAAATAGCAGAGTATCATGAAAACCGCAATCACTTGAAAGGTTTGGAAACAGTAGAAAAATTGAGTAAGGTAGAAACTGCCTGCATGGACAGGAGCAGAACTTTTCTTCCCTCAAAGGTGGGCCTTACTGCCCTCAAGTTTTCCAGGAGAGAGGAAAAGGAATAAAGTGGCAAAGCAGTGCTTGATTTACCTTGCCTTCATGCCCTGCAGCCTCTGGCCATTTTTGCTGTCTTTTGAAACACAAAGTGATCTGCACCAATAGTGTCTGAATAGCAAATATCAGTGCAGCATAAAGCAAAGGGCATGCATGTTAGAAAATGAGCAACCCCTGGTATTTCATAGCATAACATACAGCAGAAATGCTTGCAGGTTGCTGTTCTGTCATCTTCTGATTGCTGTACAAAGGTTGGTTGCTTTTCCTTGGTCTCATTTAGGGCACAAAGAAGTGAGAATAAGAAGAATGGAGGTAAAAAGCAAGCAAGTCATTTGGTAATTTATATGCGTATTTTGTTTGTAGCATGCTGAGTCAATTGTTTACCTGTTAGTAGGAAAGGGCTAAAATAAAACATTACCTTGGTTAGGTTAATACCACATGAGGAGCTCTAGGATGCAGAGAAAAGTAGAGCAGCTTGTTTTGGAACTTGTGCTGTAGAACAAATAAAAACCCTGAATGTACACATTCTGTTACCATATGTCACGCTTATCATAAAAGGCATCTCGGTGTTATTTCTTTGCAGGGATGTTTGAACTCCACAGAGCAGACTTCCCTATGAGGAGAGCGCATGCCAGGGGTGCTGGGATTGCCATTGGTGCCTGTTGAGGCAGCTCCAGCGGGTGTCAGGAGCTCGTTCCTTCCTTTGCTTTCCTCTGTGATTGACACTGGCATCTGAATCGCTGCAACTGTGCCTGAAGAAAAGCAAAGGAGCCTAATTTTGTTTAGAGAATTTTCCTGACAGGGGAAGGTATGCAGTGCAGAGAGATGTGCCAGCCAAGAGCCTGGAAGTGTAAGTCCAGATGCTAGGGTGAGTTCCACTCAAGCCATGCTGTGGTGAATCTTTTCTCTCCAACCATATCTTGCTCGGCACCAGGGCATCTGTGAGGGGCTGCCCATGGCACTGTGGCAGCCTAGGCTGCTTTAGTCCCTGCTCTGTCTTCACTTGAGCCATCTGAAGAACTGAAGATTGTAGGGAAGATGTTGGACTTGAGCTTCCTGACCGAGGAGGAGTATGAAAAGCTGATGAAGGTTCTGCAGAGAGATGCAGAGCTGAAGAAGAAGGATGTGGATCGCATCAGGTGAGAGAGCATGTGATAGCAGGATGTGAGCTTCCCTTGGGGAAGACTTTTTTCATTTCTTTGAGAGAGGAGCATGTGTGTGTGTGTGTGTGTGTGTGTGTGAACAAGGAGAGGTGCAGGTTGCAGCAGTGCTGTCCCTTTTGCTCAGATTCTGATAGATCTTTTCATTGTACTTCACCTTTCTCAGCCATCGTTCTGTTGCTGCTGTCCTTTCCTTATGAGAGTGTTTTGAGTTAATGATCAGTCCTCAGAGATGCCAAGGGCAATCACCCCTTTCCTGCTCAGTGGAGGAAGATACTGCTTTCTTGGTGGTAGAGGTCTGAGCAGGGGAGTAGCTGCTACCTTGTTTTACTCACTCCATAGCACAGAAAGTCCATAGTGTGTTTTAAAATGAGATTTTACAAAATGAGATTTTATATCCCCTTCTCTGTTTGCCCCATTGCTTTTTGAGGTGGATGTGTGTGCACCATCTGTCATACAGAGAGGGGTGATTAAAGGCTGCATGATCTGCCAGAGGTTTGCAGGGAGCTGCTCCAGAGCCAGGGATTCTCGCTCAGTTCAGCTCCTCTGCCACTGGCTATTCTGGAGCTCAGGTCTGGTTGATCAGGATTGCTTGTTGCTGCTGTTGCTTTTTAAATGACATCCATTCGACCATCTGGGCTTACAGTATGCACCAGGCTCAGGGAGCTGGCACTGAATTCTCTATGGCAAGAAATTAGTAACTCAGTGAGTGTGGATGGCACTGTGCCAGTTTACTCCAACTAAGGATGTGAATCTTCGATTTGTTGTCGAGCCAAAAAAAGAATAAGCCCTGTATAGAAAGGATGCCCAAGGCTTTAAGGAGGAGCAGGAAGCTTTGCTGCAGGCTCCTGGGAACCTGTGTGCCCTGGCCTCTGCTTGGAGGTGGGAGCTGGGAAAACAACTGGAAGCCAGAAGTCTGGACTTGTGGTGTATGTGTCTGCATATTCTTGCCTCTCCTCTGAATTGAAACAATTTCAAAAAGGTTTGTTTTTAATTTCTTTTGGGTTTTGTTTGTTTGTTTCTGAAATTGAGTAAATTTTTCCTCTGAAGTGGAGGTTTGGTAAAAAGACTGTTTGGATTATTTTGGTTTTGTTTCACTTGTCTTTGAAAGCTGTTACACAAGAGGCTTTGATTTGGGAGTGAAGTGAATTAGGCCCTGCCCAGAGCCCCTTGCTGTCAGTTTGGCTATCTGCAGTAAGACATACTTGGTTTCAACACAACCTGTCTGCTGGGCAAAATGAAGTCAATGGCATTTCCTTGATCTGCTGTCAGCAAGATTAGAATAAGTATTTCCTCTGGCCCAACACTTTGAGACCCTCATGGAGGCAGTGCAGCCCTGGTCTAGATGGGAGCTTCTGTTGAGTCCCCAGCATGGCCTGCAGAGGTTTGAGCCCAGTTATTCCTGTTCCCTCCTAGCCTTTAGGCAACCAAATGTGACCCTTCAAGGCTCCAGGGTTATCTGGGGGTTTGCCCCCTTTTCTTGCTGAGAACTGGGCTGAGGTGGGAGCTTCCTCTGACCTCCCAGGTTCCACAGGGATCCTGAACTGTGGTAGGCTGTGTCAGCTGAAAGGCAGCTAATTCAGCAAGCCATGGTGAAGGGGATTAGAGTATGGGCTGGCAATAGAGCACTGACAGGTTTAGGTGTCAGAAACCAGCCCTGGGTGTGCCCAAGTGAGGTACAGTAGAAGTCATGCTTTGGAGGAAGAGCTAACCACGCGAGTGCCAAAATAGGCATGGCAGGAGGAGCAGGGAGAGGAGCAGTGTCCAGGGACAATGCTACAAGGACAGGTTGTTTCCCTAAATACCATTATTTGTTTCTGTGGTTTGCAGCAAATTTGATCCAAAAGGTTTTGCTGTTCATAAAAAGATAATTAGACAAATAAAATGGAGAAGTGCAAGACAGACAAATAGCCCCACCCCTTCCTTAACCCTCAGGGCAGCCAAGCAAGTGGGCAGGTGAATGATTTGGATTTGTGAAATTTGGAAGAGGTGAAAGCCTGTGTTTACAAGGTGCTGTTCCCATTTTAGACAAAGAATAAATCAGCTGCTGTTTTAATGCTGGTTTGGCTCTTGTGATTGCAGAGTATAATCTCTGGATCCTTTGTAGTGCCAGACAGGTGAACCCATGGGCATATTACAAAGGTAGCTCAGAGGAAGTTGAAACTTTGCAGATCTTTTTGGTGTGTAATGCTTGCACTGACTTTCAGGCGGATACAAGACTCCATCAAGGATGAAAAGAAGAAGAAGTTTGTGACAGGTGAATGGTTTTCAGAAGTGAAGGCAAAACGGTTTCAGGAAGACTTGGAGGGGCCAGATCTACTTCGTGCATCAATTAGAAGGAAAAAGGGCAAACTAGAAAGTAAGTATGTTAGTGTATATCTTAAGAAAACAAATTGATGGACGAGGAAAAAATTGGTCCAGGATGGGAGTATCCCTGTACTGGGAGTCTGTTGAGAACCAATCCCTGTGTTATGGTAAGGGAATTCTCATCTATGTTTTCAGTACCAAAGAAACATCTCTTGTTATCAAAATCAGGACCCAAAGAAAAAATTACAGTGTGGCAGAGGACCAAGGCAAAAGCCATGTGCAGTGAATGCCTTTTCTCCACTTCAGCTGATTTTTTCTTTTTTTGCTTCTTTTTCCCAAAATTTCTGTTTGCTAGAGGTCATCGGTATGATTTCTTACCACAGAAGTAAAAAGAGAAGGGGATGATTTAGAACAGTTTCTGGCATGAAGTTGGCATGTGTGGGTCAAACTTATCAGTTCCTGAAGTGGTCTGACAAGAGCTGCTCTCACAGGCCTCTGGAGTGGTGAGGTCAGTCACATTTCTGCAACGTGAGAGGGTGCCTCTCTTCTCCTGGCATGTATTTGCCCACTTGAGAGGGTTCATGCATCGCTTTTTACATGGAAATAATTCCAAGGCAAAATGTGGTTTACAAAGTAAAAAGGGCTTTGTGGCCAAGTCTGAATGGTACCCAGGCTGTGTGCCACTTGTGCTAATTGGAAGCAGATGTTTTGCGTGTTTGACATGCAGATAAACTTTCATGGTGCTATGTAAAACAGATCAAAATTTGTCAGCTCAGGGCAAGAGGTCAGCCTTGTGTGAAAGAGGCAGGACCATGCTTAGAGTCCAAATGTAACTAGCCTGGAGCTGGAACTTTGTGCTGAACATCTGTGCAAAGCAGAACTGGGGATGATTCACATCCAGTCCTCAACATGAGGACAGGCCAGCCACCCCTGCAGCCCAGTGTCACACAACCTCCTGGATGATTTGTCAGGGTGGGCAGTCACAGATGCTCAGCCATGGCTGGGGAGTTACTGGGTGCTGGTACCCTGGGGAAGCCTTGGCCCTTAACACTGTCTCTAACACAAGGGCCCCATAGTTGGGCTCTGCATTTTGCAGTAAAGGCTAATGCCCCAGCAGAGGGGCATCTGTCCAGCACTCAAATGTCACCTCCAGAAGTTCAGTTCAGCCATCATTCCTGGAAACAGCTTCCCATTCCTGCCAGGGGGAGCAGCAGTATAGATCACTCCTTTTTTGGTAAGCTTCCTTGGCCAGGATGTGTCTGTAGCAGGAATTGCTTGGATTTAGATATCCCTCCTTGCCCCATGTTACTTAGACATTCTGAAAGCTAAATGCTGACTAGGGACTTCACTGAGAGCCTTATTTTCTTTTTGCTCTTTACCTATTCTTGACAGCTCTTATAACTTAGCATAGATTTATTGGAGCCTCTCATACAGAACTGGCCCATCATATTTCATATGAAGTTGCTTTGATCCTTGGTATTATGAATTCATGATGTCATTGAATTTACTATTTTATCATACCTCCAGAATGCTAAAACATATAAAACCTTTTCCATTTGGAAAAGACGCCTGGCTTTTCTGCAGAGCACGTTCTTCTTTTTGAGGATGTGCATTTGTGCTTGCACCCTCTTGGCATGAAGGGGCAGAGCTTCAGCAGCTTCTCTGCCAGGGCCCAGGTCAGACAAATGCTCTGTCACCTACCCAGCTACCAGCCTGCAGTGAATAGGATTGTCTGCCTTTGCCTTGCACTCTTAGCTCTCTGCCCACTTCAGGAAAGCAGAATTTGAAGTACTGTTCATTTTATATTTAACTTATAGGGCTGATGTGCACATATCAGATGATGTCTCAGGTCATCATATAAAATAATCTCTTTACTAGTGCAGCAGTATTATGCAAGATAATCATTGCACGTGCATTACTTGACTCTTGATGTTTTAAGAAGGAAAAAGCAAATGTTTTTAAATTACTATAATAATTATGTCTAGATTTAGCCTTTATTCCTTTTTCAACATTTTTTCCTTCTTTTTTCCCTCTATTTGTATTCTCAGACTTATTTTGATAAAGCGCAGTATAACATGTGATTTTACTCCATCCTCTTACTTTTTCCACTGCCATTCCACATCTCGTGCAATCTTGTTCATCAAGATTCCACAGTAATATATTCGCCTTAGATAAGGGCCTTTGCTTGCCATATTGACACATTTTTCCTTCCCCTGGAAAGATCAGTCATTCACCTCTGCTGGCTTTTAAGGTGATGAAGAGGTGCATGTTCATTTAGTCAAATCTGTGTTTGTAACTCCTTATTTAAGTCTTTAGACTAAAGTCTGTGTTAGGGAGTAAAATGAGAAAATTCCTGCATGGAAAAGCCCCACTGAGATAATTGCTGGCATTCCCTTTGCAAGGTAGGTGGGCTGAGGAGGAGTGGAAATTTGTGCTTGCAAAGGAAAATTCCCAGTGATCTTTTCTGAAGGAGGGTTTTAGCCTTCAGAAGGGAGGGTTGTGGGGATCTCTAAGGGTTTTCACAAGTGATACTGATTGTAGTAGAAATCGCTAGTCATGGGCAGTCATAAAAATCTATAAAACAGATAGATATCCTATATTTAAACTACAGCCTGCGGAGCAGCACAAATGGATGAATTTGACGATAATTTCTCCTTGCGGTTATGTGCAATACTTGAGGGGTAAAAATCACCTACAAGAGAGACCATTTTATTCACCTGCTGTGGCAAGTGAGCCCTGATGCACAGTTAGTTATGAATATCTTTGTTTTAGAGTAGTAGGAAATGAGTAAAAGTGTTAAGAGTAGGAGTGCCTGTCAGTTTTATAGACGTGTATAAGAATACATGTATGGGCAAGTTAATGCAGTCTTTGGTTGTCAAGGTCTTTTCAGCCATGACAGGCAAAGGGAAAGTGTGGGAACTCTGTGTTTGGTTCCTTTACTTCTAGCACAGCTACCTGCTGGTACCTCCCTCCCCCAGGTCTGAGGCAGAAGAGGAGTATCAATACTATATCAATAAATCTCCTCAGTGTGCCTTCCTGTGCCTGCACATGCCCTGGCCTGCACGTGCCACCAACCGTGCCTCGGGTTCTCTCTCCTAAAACAATGTTCAGTGATGCTTTGTGCACACTGGTGTTGGCATGGGCAAAACAGTCCCTCTCTCAAAACCATGCTCTCTAAAACTGGCTCATTCCAACACAACCAGATTCATGTTTTTCAGCAGGAGCAGTTCCCTGACTTCCTGCTGCTGTGGAAACCATGGGGCCCCTCAGCTGCCACCACCCATGTATGCCAGACATTTAGTCCTAATGCAGACAGCTCTGAGCAGTGGCTGCTGTGTCCCCACACTTCAGGGCCAGGTGCTGGGCAGGCCGGAGGATTGGGAATGCAGCATTTTTCTCCATAGGAATGCACAGGCAAGGGGGAGTGAATCTTTGGATATTCCTATGACTTGCAGGCTGACTGTGCTAATGCTGGATGGCACCATGCAGGCAGTCTTGAGTCTTCTCAGCATAAGACTGGCCTGCTTTTGGGCCTCATGTGGTTTTCCAACCAGATAACAAGCAAGGGTATAGTATTTAATATTACTTCTGAATCCTCTGAACTTCGTTTTCTATTGCATTTTTTAATGAAATATATCCTAAAATGGTTTGGCAGTTCTTGAAAGAGGTAGATTTTCTCTTTAAAATAGACCTAGCTGCATGAATAAATAAGTGTAGATCTTGTTAACCAGACTAAACTTATTTTTTATTTACTGTTTGAGAGTTTAATCCTTTTGGTTTTGCAGTAGCAAGAAAACCCATTTGCTAACAAAATATCTAATGCAAAGTTATACCCTGCAGTCTGCTGTAAAAGTTGCTGTCCTCTATTGTTTTTAATTTGGGGTCTTCGGAGGCTTAGAAGATCTCGCTGGGCCTTGTGCCAGTAAAAATAACAGGAATCTCCTCATTATCTGTATTGGCCTCCTCCTTTGTTTGCAAAGATTGGATGACTTGAGTCAAAACAGGAAATGGCTGAATTTAAATCCTGGAACAGATTAACTTTATTGACAGTCAGTGGCAGTGTCCTGTGGAGGTTTCCAGTGATGCGACAGCTCCTGGCACAAGTTGGGCATTGGGCAGCTTTGTCCTCTTGGACCTGTGGGGTCTGGAAGTGCTTTTGCTACCCTGGGGCCTCCCAATCCCTGAAGAGAGCAGGCAGAACCCCTGAACCCCTCTCCTCTTAAACCTCCAGGGATTAAAAGTCCCAGTGCTGGTGGGTCTCTTTTTCATTGGGAAAAGCATTTTCTTACCCCAAACAAAACACACCAAACGTTACAAGTTTAATGAAATGCTGTTTCTCAGTTGTCTCTGTTATATTACAGATGAAGCCAACAAGCTAATCCAGATGAGTCTGGAAAGCAAAGCTGCCCCAAGTCCTGCCTTTCCTGAGGACATTGCTGATGCAGGAGAGGGAAGGTAACACTGCTGCGTTTGCAATGCTCAGGCTGCTGCTCTTACTTCTAATGAAAATTGCATGCTACCCATTAAACCCTGATCTCTGAGTTTCTGAGACTGTATAAGTAATATGTACTATAGGATTATTTTTATTTATTATTCATCTTCCAGGAATTGTGAGGATATCAATCCACCCCTCATAATCAAGTGCTAATGTGCTTATCTCACAAAGGTCTTTTCCTGCATGATTTGATAAGGGATCAGTAAAATGGAAGCTGTCTCTAATGTCAGGATATGCTGGTTAGTTTTTCAAAGTAATTATGGTTTTATTTGTTTTATTTTTGCTGTGGAGCAACACTAAGGAAATGAACTCTCTGAGGAAACTGCTCATTTCCTGCTGATGCCATACTCTGTGTCCAGTGCTCACCACTCTCCATCAAGGCTTGGTAGGATTTTATATTGTGCTGACTGAGTAGAAATATCTATTAAAAGCACTCCAGTGAGCAAGTCAGTGACCTCACTCAATATCCATGGACTATGAGAAGCAATTAAAATATTCACATATTCATGTATTGTGGTTCCCATCTAATTTGCCTTTTTTTGTCAGCAGAATGAGGAATCATTCTCCACAGGTGGCAGTTGCTCCAGTTAAATATTAAATATTGGCCTTGACAACACTTGGAAACCTCTTGTAGCTGATTAGTGAGTGTTGTTTAATGAAGGATGCAGAGGCCCTAGGTACTCCTGCTTTGATGGCACAACACCCAGTTGTTTTTTTTGGGAGTGTTGGTTAAATCTTGAAAAGCTAGCTTTGTTTTTCTCATTCAGTCTTAAGCAAGGTGTGGCCTGTTCCTTCCTGGGCCATAGCATAAAAATGTCTCTCCTTTCTGCATGGCCTTGGGGCTCTTCTAGCACTTCCAAGAAGGGGAAAGTCTGAATAAACCTAGTAGTTGACACACTTTGTTTTTGTTATAAATGAGAGGCAAAAGTCTCGATATTCAGCAAAATTTAGATTGCTTTATTTGATATAGAAAGAACAAGCAGCGCGCTGGGGAACGCGAGGGGTCACCGCCCACTCCACACTCCACCGAACCCTGGTTTGCAGCCTCGTCTTATACTGTGGTTTCTCGTTGTAATCAATAATTTTTGGGTTTTTGGGCTGTCATAATTTTGCCAGCTAAGCAGTGGTGATTGAATAAACATCCTTACCTAAACTCACAAAGCCTTTGGGTGATAATCAGTCACAGATAGCCATCTGGTCCTTGTAGATAACCACTAAAGAAGTTCTGGAAGTCTGGTCTTTGTAGATAACCACCAGAGAAGTTCTGTGAGTCTGGTTTTTGGGATAGGCAGTATGGATTAGACAAAGGTAGGAAGGGCTTTTTGGGAAGTCTGATTTTGCAAGCTGGTAGCCGATACAACTTATTTGGAAAACATAACATAATATAACATAATGTAATGTAACATAATACAACATAATATAACATAACAAGGTGATTTTAAACAGAATTATTGAATCATATAATTTTCTTTATCTAGTGTCCATGCTTCACTTCAGAGCTTAGTATTCTGGTTTGTACAAACCCTAATGCTTTTGTGATTAACACGAATCTTTTATCAATTATCACATTTTTATTGAGCAAATTCTACATCTGAGCAGAACTGAGGTGATTTTGAAGACTGCCTGAGCACGCAAACAGGCACATTGTTACCACAGACCTCCTTGTTCAGACATTTCTCCTCTCCCACAGATCCAGTACACCTACTCTTGAAGCCACAGAGCAAAAAATTTTCCCAAAACTGAAGCCAAGACTTCCTGTCCAGTTGTCTGCATCATACAAGGTAGTACAGGAACAGCCTCTTGTCTCTATTTAAAAGACAGGTGTCTGCTAGGGAAAGCAGGACCCTCCCTTGAAATGGAAAAAGTCAACCCCCTCCCTCTGAATTAGTAAAATTTTGAAATTAAGGGGCTCTCAGGCAAAGATATGGGGATAGGAATAACAGTTCTTTACTAGTATGTATAACAAGGCAAACAAAACAACAACAGCTAAGGAATTAATAACAAACAGAACAGGAACACTCCTCTTTCCCTTTGGTGCAGTTCCAGTCACAGCCAGCAGGGGCGCTGGTGGCCCCCGGTGGGCAGGGCAGGCGCCATCACCCCCGCGCGGCTGCAGGGGGCGCTGTGGCGCCAGCTCGGAGAGCGCTTGGTAATGGCGGCATGGCCGAGACGGGAAGGGATGGAAGAGAGAGGCTTTGCTTCAGGAATCCCGGGGCAGTGTCGGTCCCGGTGCTCCAGCAGAACTCTTGGAAACAGAAAACTGAAAATGGCAGGGCGTCCCGGCAGGGCGCGGGTGCTGTGTGCAGCAGCAGAAGACGCAGCTCCCGGCTGGGTTATGGCGGTGGTAGCGGCAACGCACGGCCAACAAAGGCAGGAGCAAGCGAGAGAGCAACTGCCCCCCGCCCCCCGCCTTTTACCTGCTTCTAATCTGGGGTGTCTCTGACCCTCCCTCTGAGAGAAACTCCCAAAAACCAGAGAGGTTCCCCCCTCCCCTATCTCAAGTACTTTAGGCATCAGTGCTTCTATAGTAAGTCAATGGGAAAAATTCCACAGGCAATGAGTAAAAGAAAAACCAACCCCCAACACCTCTGCACTTTGTTTTGTTACTCATTGAAGCTTCGCACAATCTATACCTACTAACAGGGACTCCACAGGCTGCCTGCCCTGATGTCTCTGCTCAAATAAAATACTTTTTTCCAGTCTTGCCAGTATTTATACACTGATAAGATTTGTTTTCTGTTCAGAGATCCGGCATACATGGTATCTCTTCCTCAGAGAGTGACACTGGAATAAGTCCATTTGTGACTGCAACAAACAGCTTTCATTTGTATAGAAAAGGTAGGTATTTTGTTCAGTGAGCCATTGGTGTTTTTGTTACTCAACATCAAACTCCAAGAGACAAGATGACAATATGTGTACAAATAAATAACAAAGAGTACCTTGGCATATAAGAGTGGGCTGACAACACTTTGTGAATTGCAGCCAAGGCAGCAGGGACCAAGGCAGAAAGCAATCTAAAAACTGAAACTTCTCTGTACATATTGAACTGAGTGCTTGGCTCTCAGCTCATTAATCCAGAAGAGGACTTACCCTCTCTTTCTGGCATTGATTGTATAATGTAGTTTTGGAACATTGCAAATAGCCAGTAGGGAAGCTGTCAAATTGAAAGAGAAACTGGAAACAAATCCACAATTCGCAGCAACAGTTTAGAGCTCAGTGGATTTTTTTCTGTGCCCTGTTGCAGGGAGAAAGACTGGGGTTTTCAGGGCTTTCTTCAGATGGAAGGGAGCTTTCTAGAGTCTGAATATGGAATAGAACTAGGAATATATTGATGATTTCTGAAAATTCCCTGTCTTCTCATTGAGAAATTGCAGCCCAGACCTTCTGAGGAGATTGGATGTGATGCAGTAGGACAGGCTCTGAGCATTTGTTGTTGTTGTAGGTCATGGAGTATCTCCATTGCCCACTAAGATTTCAGAGGATGCTGTGCCTCAGCCCACCACTGCAGCTGGAGGAGAAGCTTGTGATGGGGCCACTGGCACCACAGAGGGGCCAGAAATTCCACCTGAAGAAACTTATGCTCCCAGCAAAATACCAGTTAAGAAGAAACCAAGCAGAACCCTCCCCAGATCTGAGCAGTTTGTGAATCACGTGGGGCCAGCACAAAATAGCCTTGCAAAGAAAGAGCCACTGGCAAGCCCCCGACCACTGCCCACAGAAGGGGAAAGCAGCGGGGCTGGTAAGCAAAGCGTGAACTACACAATCTCATCCATGAGTAACAAAGAGGAGGATATTGGCCTCAACCGTGAACACTTCAGGAACCTGAAGAACTTTTGGGAGAAGGCAGCAGACTCGGTGGCAGTGGAGAGCATGGAGGCAGAGCTGGGCTGGATGGAGGCAGATGGCTGGCAGTTCAAGCTGTGCCGCTCGCTGTCTATGCAGTCTGGGCAAGGCCAGGATGCTGAAGAAAAACCTGGTGCCTTCACCAAAACAAGGGCCCCCTACAGAAGGACAATAATGTTGTCTTCTAGTGAGGAAGAGCCAAGCTATGCCACTCCTGCAAGGAAGGGCTCGGTTTCCATCACTCCCAGATCCACATATGCCAAGAGCAAAGGTGACCTGGTTACAAGAAATGACTTGCTGAGTGAAAGCAATGGGAAGCTGCTGATGCCAGAGGAAGAGAAGGTGGTGCAGCACTGCTCCAAGAAATCCAGATTGCCTGTGCGAGCACCTTCCAACCAACTTGAATTGCCTACCAAGGATGTGTCTGGCAGCACGCTGGAGCCAGGGACGCCTGTGGAGGAGCTGGTTGCGGTAGAAGGGCATAAGCCCACAGCGAGGTCCCTGGCAAGCAGGGTACAGATACTGATCGAGCCTGTACTCACAGATGGTGAAAGTGATAATGAGAAAGAGGAAAGATCTGATTTGGGCACTCAAGACAACATGGAAATAAATGGAGAGCTACCTGAGGAAAAAATGTGCAAGCCTTCAGACCAGCCAACACCCAGTAAACCATCTGGAGAGAGAGAAGCTGTTCAGGGGACAGACTCAGCTGTTTACTCAGGTATTGAGGGCTCTGACTGCACCCTGTGAAATCCAAATAGAAAGCCATCCCTAAGCCTGTTTTCTTCCCTAACCCTTCTGCATTTTGCACATTTTCTTCATTGTCCATTTGTCCTATATTACAATTTGTGCAGAGTTAGCTTGTGTAGAATGTATTCTGCAAACAGCTCTGGAAACAAATCTTGTGTAGCCTAGTGTGAGTGTAGAAGGGGACTGGTGCCATGTTCCCTTGCTTTCCTCCCCACACCCAGCCCCTGTGCTTTACCTGCAAGCACCTCATCTTGGGACAGCCCTGCACTACCTACAACACATCACAGGAACTCACTTTATTTCACTCACTGGCAAGACTGTATTTTCTTCAAATGCGGGACTGAAGGAATTCTTTGTGGTAGAAGAGATAAGTCTAACACAAGTACGGGAAATAAAATGTGAAGCAAACTGTTTAATAAATACACTAGCTCTTTTAGTACCTTGATATAGCCGTTGGCTGTCAGTGCCTAAATAACATTTTGTATTTTTGGAATGCGCAAGTGAACTTTGATAATAAACTTTAAGCAAAGCTGACTGAACAAGGAATCTGCACTTTCTGGGTTCTGATACCATGTTCTCAACCGTGATGGTGTCAATAGCATCATCATTTTAGCAGCCTCTTCTTCTGGGTTTGGTGGGCTCTTGTAGTGACTATTACTATGAGAAAACATTATTGTTATTTGCAACTCACTTTACATTTAGGCTCTGATTACCCACTGCTCTGCATAGGAATACAACATTCCTATGAAAATCCTGAGTTGTGCTTCATGTCATTGTAAATATTTTCTTTATGGAATATTATGGGTTGTGAAAGACATCTAAGCTCATTAAGTCCAACCATTTATACACTAGATCATTCTTGTATTTTACAAGGCTTTTTCCTTTATTAATTCATTAATTTCAGGATGATATTAAGAAATGGCTGTGTTTCACTGGAAGCTCTTTGCAAGGGTTGGTCTGTCTTGGGGACTGGGTTAATCCAGTATTTACATTTCCTGACACAGTGTGAAGAGGTTTTCTCAGGGGAGACATCAGAGCACCCGGACAATTGGGAAGGAGCCCTGTGCAATGCAACTGCAGTATGCTCTAGGCAGAGTGACCAAGGGAGGCACACACACACACGGGCTTGTTGATGCACTGCCCATTTGTGTTTGTTTATTTATTTACCATGTTGATTTGGCTTTTTGTGTATTCCAGAGGAAGATGGGGATCATTCTCCTGCTGTTCAGGCACTGGCCCGAGCAAATAGCATTAATCTAGCAAAGAGCATGGTGAACATTTACACAACCACAGAGAGTGAGTAACATCTTTCTTCTTTTTGGTTTATATTTGCTGAAGGTAATATATTATGCCAGTTTTTCATCACCATGCTTCTGTGCATGTACCAGGCTAGGAAAATGACATATTGTTTCATCATCAAATTAGAGAGTTTATACTGCCTAAAATTAAATTCAGAGCCAGGAAAATACAGCTAGATTGATGGTTTGTTACTTCAACAAAAAACACAAAGGCTTCAAAGGGTTGGCAAGAAGCTCATGCTCATCTCTTCTGTTCCTGCACAAGGGATGTGGGACCTGCTGGCAGCCTGTGGATTGATCCGAGGTGCCAGACCTGGTGTCATCATGTGAGTCGTGCCACTGACTCCTGCTTATGAGGTCTCTCCCCTCACCCAGAGCAGAGCCCGTGGCTGGACTGATGTCCCCAGCTGCCAGCTGGGACATGTTTTCTGGTGACAGTCTCTCCTTGAGAAACCCAGAGAAGCTGAGGAGAAGGAAGGAAGCAACCAAGGAAGCAGCAGCCTGCCTAAAGAAGCCCAAGAAAGCTGCAGCCAGGGAAAACACCTGAGGGAAGGCAGCAGCAACCTCTGTGCCCAAGAAAGCCAATGACAATCCCCAGAGGGTGAAACCTGGCAAGCTCAAAAAGACAGCTAAAGAGCTTGCCTCAAAAGAAAGTGGTGAGGCCAAAGCTGCCAGGACTGAAATGAGAAGGATGGGAAAGCAATGCCCAAGGAAAGGTAAAGGTAAAGCCACTTAGAGGCTTTGATTAAGCCGATTTAAGTCCAACGCTGGTTATAGGAGGCAGGCAGCTTGCTGGCACATCACACTGCACAGCCCTGTGGCTGTGCCCACCTTGGCTGGCACCTCGTGCCAAGCACTGTCCCATCATGTGGTGCCCGACATGTCACAGGGCATATTGGCTCAAAGCTCTAAGGCCTGTTCAGGGATTTGGTCTCCACCAAGACAACCAAGATTTCAGCTTCCCCTTATTTAGAGACCCAAACCTCATCCTTGGAAACCCTCCTGTAACAGTTAAGTTTCATGTTTGCAGTATAGCAAATAGTCTGCGAAGAGGGGTAGATACAATTATTTATTCAGGTTTGGAAATAAAAATAGTAAATATCAAATGAAGGGTAAATCAAGAATCTCTTGGGCATTTTGAGCACCAAAGAATGTATCATCATGCCTAAAATGCTATACAAGTGTGTATATGAACATGCATGTTCGTATACATATATCTTCAAAACAAATTCTTCTGGGATGGAGAAATTAATCTTCAAGAGAGTTATTGGGAGAAGATAAAGATACAAAAAATAAGTTTAATTAGACATCTAAGCAGTCCAGTAGCCATCTTTCTATTGATAGGAAACTTCCTAACTTTATTTTAGATAATCTGGCTATTGTCCACCTCTGTGTCTAGCAGAGTCTTTGACAGGTGTATGCAGTGGTGAAATTGTAGATAAAAATATTTTAGTGCTCTTTTCTATAGGGCAGTGTGCTGTGAGATAAAAATGTGAACAATCATGTTTTCTTTGACAAGGAGGCAGATTTGTGTGGTTTTAGAGTAAGTTCAGTCTATACAAAGCAGGCAACATCCATGTCCTTGTGCTGATAAGGGAATTAGATGAGCCACTAGAGGGAGTTCCACACTCTCACACAGTGAATGAAAAGATACTGAATATAGCTCTAGGATGTTAATAGCAGTTTTTTGGGGAGGATCAGCTTCAATGTCAGGTGACACAGACAGGGCAAGTAGGTACTTCAGTGCCTTCCACAAGCTTTTCCTCCTTACTTGTACCCTTTAACAAGAGTGTGACTTATAATTTCCTGATTCTGACAAGCTATCTTGATGCTTTTTTTTTTTGTACCTGCAGCATACAATAAACCTCATTTGATACCACATCAATTTCTTGAACCTGAAAGAGTCAAAGAACTGAGCATATCCTCTCCTCTCCTGTTGTCTGAGGTGGGTTGATGCCAAAAATGGCTGAAATAGTGTTCACAGCATTCCCTGAATGGCAGTTGGTTTCATGAAAATGTTTCTCCTGGAGACCAACAGTACTTGCTTTAGAGCATGCCTTGGTTATGTCATGAATGAATGAGAAATGCCTGAGGAAAAAAGCCCCCAGAAACCTAGAGCAGCTGTTCCATCCTGGAGGATGTTGGCTCTGTGTGTCAAACCATGCTGTTCTGTGCCCTTTCCCAGAGGCATGCAACTCTGTTTGGAGGCAGTTCATGATGACGTTCAGTGCTGGTTGGAGGGGATGCCCTGGGGAGGCTCCCTGCACTCTCCTCCACTCTCCTAATCTGATCTCTGCTTAATGGGACTCTGCTGAGCAATTCCTTTTTCTCTGTAGTGCTGCATACTGCTCATTCGGCAGAGCTTAAAGATACTTCTTATTTTTTGAGCAGACTGAATCAGACACGGCTTCGGAAATCAGCTTCCAGTTTAACAGGCACAAAAAGACACCCAGCATTGGCAGCCACTCGTCTGACATGGCTTCCGTCTCTTCGGTAGGTACCAAGCGCCAGTGGCTCCTGGACAGGGCTCCTCAGTCAGATGCAGTGACACTGCATTTAGGCTGGTGCTGATGATGTGGCCTCCAGAGTATCCTGTTGGTTTCTGCAGGGTACATTATTAAAGGAATAGGGGTGATTAATTACTTGCTTAGGTTAAAGGAGTGAATCCAGGTACCACCTCAAAATAGAGACCCACTGAGTTGTCCTTGGTCAAATTCCCTGTAAGTGACAGCCCCCACTCCCAGGTGTGAATACCCTAAATCCTGGCAGTGCAGAAGGTGGGGGAGGGAGTTTCTAGGTGGGAAAATGAGGCACACAGCAATTAAGGAACATGTTTGTGTTTCAGGGCTGCAGATGGGTTCCCTCTGCAAGCTCATCCTTTATCAGCAGATAGGGAAGTCAGAGTTAGACAGCAAAGGCTTGTTTTGGAGATTCAGCTTCTAAGGAAAGCTGAAAAAAGCTGAACGTATTCAGTTGAGTGTTTTTAAAAGTTTTCTTAATATCTGGGGAGAGAGCTGCTTAAAAGTGCTTGAATTTGCTGTATTACTGTTATGGATTTCTCCAAGGAGTATATTTGAGATTCACAGAATATATCTGAAGAAAAGCTGGTAAGGAGAGGTCATGGATGTAAATAAATATTGTCCTGGTTTGAAAGACAGGTATCTGCTAGAGGAAAGCAGGGTGTCCCCACCTTGAAATAGAGAAAGTAAATCCTCTCCCTCTGAATTAGTATAACTTTGAAATTAAGGGGCTCTCAGGCAAAGATATGAGGATAGGAATAACAGTTATTTAATAGTATGTATAACAAGGCAAACAAAACAACAACAACTAAGGAATTAATAACAAACAGAACAGGAACACTCGGCCGCAGGCGCTTTCCCTTTGGTGCAGTTCCAGTCACAGCCAGCAGGGGCGCTGGTGGCTCCCGGTGGGCAGGGCAGGCGCCATCATCCCCGCGCGGCTGCAGGGGGCGCTGTGGTGATGGCCGCTGTGTCCCGGACAGGAAGAGATGGAGGACAGGCTTTGCTTCAGGAATCCCGGGGCAGTGTCGGTCCCAGTGCTCCAACAGTACTCTTGGAAACAGCATGCTAAAGCAGGAGGGTGTCCTAGCAGAGCATGGGTGCAGGGTCCAGCAGAAGAAGAGGCAGCTCCCAGCTGGGTTATGGTGGTGGTAGCAGCGACCCTCCTCCTCCGAAGGCAGCAGCAAGCGAGAAACAGCAACTGCTCCCCACTCTCCTTTTACCTGCTTCTAATCTGGGATGTCCCCTGCCTCCTCCCTCCGAGAGAAACTCCCAAAAAACTAGGGAAGTTCCCCCTCCCCCCATCTCACAGACCTAGCCATCAGTGCTTCTTAGCATGTCAATGGGAAAAAATTCCACAGGCAAAGAGAAAAGGAAAAACCAACCCCCATTAAAGATACTAAAAATTTGGGGCACATGAATTCTTCTAATCTGGAGCATCTGGGTGCTGAAAACGAGTCCAGGTCATGCAAGTGTTCTGGAAAATCTTGTTCAGGATTCTCTGCTGGGGTGAGTATCCTGATGGGATGGTAAATGCAGCTCCAAAGACTGACAGGAGATGTTTAGCAGGTTTTTGGAGGTTATAATAAAATTCAGAACCAAAGTAAGTAGGGAAAGACAGAGAAGAATTGGGTTAATTACTAGGAAGGTTTTTTGATAAGTGTTCATCACGGCACCACAGAAAAATGCCAAGAGGGTTAATTATTTGCTTTGTAAACAGCATTAGTTTTTATGATATCCTGTCAGGAATCATGAGTGATTGGTGCAAGTGAAAATCATCTCATCTTTCTGTAGCTGAGCTTTGCTTGTGCTTTGTGACTTTCTACCAGTGAAAGACAAAGACTTGAAAAAAGAAGCCCAAGTTGTCTGGGCAAAATGCAATTTATTTTGAGAAAGCAAAAAACTCTTGGGTGCCTAGCTTCATATTTATAGCTGGAGAAACCTCATGTTCCTGTTCCTTTGGGGCAAGCACAGGCTGTCTCTGGTGGGGCAGTGGCTCTTCAGAACAGGGTTGTATCTGTTTTGTGCTGCTCCATACACATTGTGAGTAAGCAACAAGATAGGAATAGTTCTTTCTAGTCTGATAGGGTTCTTATTAACCTGTTTTATAAATGGATTGACAATTGTGTGCTATATCTACCTGAAATAACAAGTTCTTATAATATAGTTCAAGTTCTCTCAATATCTTTATTTCTTAGTGATGAGATTGGGTCAGGATATCAGTTATTTATTCCCTATAAGCATAGGGAAGAGACATATGTGGTCTCCCCAGGAATATCTGAGTCCATTTCCCAAAGTTTTGGGATTTAGGAGTGAAAAAACTTCGGTATTTCTTGAGCATTCAGTGCTTCCAAGTCCTGGTTTAGGATAGCACACCCATGTGAGATCCTAACTTGGATTCCCCAGCCTGGCTTGCTTGAGAACAGCCACAGCTGTGAACCATCTCTGTGTCAAGAACACTGCATAGCACGAGGACAGGAACACCAGATTTTTTTCTCTGGGAATGCATGTCTCATCCTATTGTCTCTGTCCAGAACCGAGTCAGACTGTGCCTTTTTCAGTGGCACTGACCTTGCTCTTCCCCCTGGCAGGTGAGTGGCAGTGTGCTCAGTGTCTACAGTGGTGATTTTGGGAGTGTGGATGCCCAAGGAACTGTGGAATTTGCTCTAGACTATGACGAGAAGAACCGGGAGTTCCAGGTCCATGTGTCCCAGTGCAAGGACCTGGCTATAGTGGATGAGAAGAAAGGAAGATCTGACCCGTGAGTGATGTTTTAGTGCCTTGTGACTTCTACATTGCTGAATTTTGTGTTCCGGAGGATTTTTCTATTTTCTTTAAATGTAATCCCTCCCTCCCTCCCTCCCTTCCTTCCTTCCTTCCTTCCTCCCTTCCTCCCTCCGTCCCTTCCCCCTTCCCTTCCCTTTTCTCCCTGTCCAACTAGAGCTTGTTTTCTAGGTATGTAAAAACTTACCTGCTCCCAGACAAAGCTAAGATGGGTAAGAGGAAAACGTCAGTGAAGAAGAGGACAGTGAACCCCATTTACAACGAGGTGTTACGGGTAAGAACAAATACACACTCTGAAAACCTCTGTTGTAGTAGGCACCTCTATCAGGCAGGTCTGGAAATATCCTGCCTTCTTGGCCAGATTCTTTGCCTACCTCCTGCCAGTACTGCAATGCTTTTGCCTGGGATTTGAGAGGCCTGGGATGTTAAAGGTTTCTCTGCACCCATCTGTGTGGCACCAAAGATTTCTCTTCCAAGACCACAGACATCTTTGGATGTAATAGGGGCCTGCAGTCAGAGCAAGGGCTGGTTGTCCTCCCCTTCCCTGGCATGCAGGCACAAGGCACAGGACTGGTAAGAAAGCTCTGCATTATGTGATCACACTTATCAAAGCATAGAGAATTATTTAATAATGCCCAGGCCTGTGTTAATAATTCTTGAAAAAATATTGGTTTTACCCTGTGATGAATGGAATGCCAGGTTTCCCTGTGCTCAGAAGAAAAGCTTTGTCAGGATGGTAGTACTGCTACAAGATGAAAAAAGAGATGTTCAGACTGAAGCCAGTCCATTGGTAGTGCATGTGTGTGGTGGGTTTGAGTGTCTCAGAGCTTATTCAAGCTTTTAAGTAGTTTATTTCTGTTTATGAAAGAAACAGAAGAAAAATTTGAACAATCTGACTTCTCTTTCTTCCTCTAGTATAAAATAGAGAAAATGGTATTGCTGATCCAAAAATTAAATCTCTCTGTTTGGCACAATGATCCATTGGGACGCAACAGCTTTTTGGGAGAGATTGAAATAGATTTGGCCAGCTGGGACTGGAGCAACAGGAAACTCAACTGGTACCCACTGAAGCCTCGGGTAAGTGTGCTTCAGCTGCAGTTCTGCTTTCTAGCCCAGTCGTGAAGCCTTGAGGGTGGCAGAAGTCCTTCCTGACTCCTCTGAGGTCTCTGGGTATGGTGGAGCAGAACAATCTGAACTGTACTAAGGAACAACCCCTGGACACCTTAGTGCAGTTCAGTGCTTGGAACAATGGCCTTCTTGGGTCTGTTTTGGTGACCAATCTGTAGGGACACTTTCATAAGTGCAACCTGACACTAATCACAGCAACTTTGATATGACTTTGCCATTCTCCCCACTCACATGGATACATCCCTTAAAAACAGTAGAGTACTAGCTGAAGCAGCTGACGTGCCTTGAGAGGTAAATATTCAGGTGCCACTGTTTGTAAAGCCTGTTAAGCTTCCTGCATGCTTCTGGATTCACAGGTCTGATATGTGGTCCCTTTTAGGCAAATAGAGGACCTTTATCTTTCAGAACCAAGATGCTTAATTATATCCAGCTGAGCATGTCTGGAAGGGCAGCCTTGTACTCTGAATCCTCAGGCTTTTGCTTCTGAGAGACTGAGAACAAACCCACAGAGAAACGACCTGTCCTAAGAAAGGGCTGCTCCAACCATGGAAAATCAGTTTGTCCATTTGTGCGTCTTCACTGAAGTCAGAAACTGTTTGTCGTGCTGTGTTTCCACAATCCTCCATTTAGTCAGTCATAACTCTGTTTCAGAGCCTTTCTGCTGTTAATGGTGTGGATCATCGAGGAGTGATGAGTTTGTCCATTAAGTATGTCCCTCCTGGCAGCCTAGGTAAGTGTGGTTCATGCATTAAGGGCTGCTGCCCAAGCGCAAACACACAACTTGCAATGCCTCATCTGCTTAGGGGCTGCTTAAAGAGGAATCTAATTAGATTAAGATCTTAGAGATCAACACAAAGGCAGTGCCTCTAGCCTACATCTGATTTCCACATCTGAATTTACAGGGAAAGTGTTAGGGAGAGAGAAAGGGCTCAACAACCTCGAACTCATTACCTGTTACGAGCATGTGGGCACTGTAGGGTGCTGAAATGTGATAGGAGTAGCACAAAACCCATGTTACTATGGGTCTGGCACAAGGTTGGTTTGGCTCATCAGTTCTTTCTCTTTTCCTGTCTGTTACAGCACTGGCAGCATGTGTCAGGAGCCTCTACAGATGCAGGAGTGATGGAGCTGGCTGAAGGGCTGAGATCCCCAGGGAGGGTGTAGTGACTTTGATTTGCCAATTTGAGATTTCCCAGCCGATGCACCAATTTATGTGGTGGATTTAGCGCTGGCCAAGTTGCCACTGCACCTTATTTACTCATTTCTTGCTGTGGGATGGGGTTAGGAGATGAATGAAGCAGGTCAAACTTTATAGGGTATAAAGAAAAATTTTATTAACAGAAACTAAAAGAAAATAGTAAGAATCAGAATAAAACCTTCAGAACAACTTTCCTCCCCCCATATCCTCTTTTCTTTCACACTGACAATGTGCAGAAACAAATCAGCCAGTTTACCATGTCTAAAATAGTCTTTCTCCAAGTTACTTAGGGAGAGGAATCTCTCTCTTCAGTCTATGGAGACTTTTCCACAAGAAACATTTCTCTCGTTGCTTCAATGTCACAGTGAATCAACTGCCTGGGAGAATGGAAATCTGATCACTGTGTAAAAATCCCTTTCCATGACTTACAGTTTTCCCCACAACTGTTTTCAAGGACCATGTCAACTTACGGGGTACCATTTTTAGGGATGAAACTCTTCACCTAACTCTGAGATCATCAGCTCTGGGAACAGAGGTCTTCTTCCCTGGGGGCAAAGGGTCTTCATCACTCTTCTCTCTCTCTCTGTTCAAACTTGTTATGGGATCACAGCTACTTCAATATCTGCTTACTTCAGCACTGGTGCTTCTGCTCATAACTGTAGTTAGTTAGTCTGACAGTCTGATATATCAATCATATCTTCTCCATAGCTTACAAGAGAATTTCAGTCCAAGATATCTTTTCATCCCCTCCCATCAAGGACCCGACTCTTCCTTCTTGTCTTACCTTGATGTCTCCATGCTCTTTCTGTCTGTGTCTTTCATCTCTGTCCTTTTTCACGAGAGAGAGAGAAAACAGATGTTTGCAGGTTTCATCTGTGCAGTGAAAGAGTTAATGTCTCGCCTGAGACCTGCTCATGTGATCCCTGCTGGGTGGCAGCCCGGAGCTAAACCGCTCTCCGGTGGAGAGTTTTTCGGCGGCCGCGCTGGGGGCTGGGCTGGGCCAGGATAGCAGGGACTAGAAACGGTGGTGGTTGCTCTGGCTGCATGACCATTTTCTGCTTTTGGCTGCATTCGATTGCAGGGAGGCCCGACGCGGCCCCCGCTGGGCCACGTGGGCTGCAGCACAGTGGGCCCGGCCTAGCCTGGAACCACTTCCGGCGTCCAGCAGACCCCCGGCTCGGCCTGGGCTGGCGGCAGGGCAGGGCTTAATGTCGGCTAGATGTTAGCAGCGGCAGTATTCCAGCCGTGTTGTGGGCCCGGTCTGGCCGTGCTGGGGGAAGGGGTACCCTGTGAAATAAATGGGCCAGGAGACCAGCCTTTTTAAGGCCTTTATTAGAGGTCAGCTTGGGTGGGGAGCTTGAGGGGTCGTGCACACCGCCGGGAACGCAGAAGAGAAGATGAACAGCTGTGTCTTCCAGCAGACGGGGGGGCTTCCGTCCTCACGGGAGTCCTCAGGAATACGATGGTTGCCTCTTAGTCTAGGCATGTCCTGTCGACCAGTACTGTAGGACCATAATGACGAGGTGAAAAAGCCCTGGTTGGTGATTTCATTTTCTCCACTATTTTCCCTACCTGGGAGTACCATTTTTAGTCTTGGATGTTATATTGGCTCATGGTTTTTAGGGGTTCTTATTACCGCGTTGCGTCCCATAAGCACTTGCTGTTTCCCTATTTGTATATTATGTCGGGCGCCATTTTGGGAGGGGGTGGTGGAGGTGTGCATCGGTGTGAGAGTGAGTACTGGGACAGGGTAAGGGACAGACAACCAGGAGTATTAACAATTTACAAAGACATACAACATTAACAACAAATAGTCAATACAAACATCAACAATTACGGTCAACTAGGTGGACACACATTAACACAAACATCAACAACTGTAGTCAACTGGGTGGACACCTTGTAGAGAAAAACCTGTGTTTGGGAATTCATTCCCCACACCCTGGTCCTGCCAGTGCTACAATGGAGGCAGGGCCTGGCTCTGCCTCCCCCACCAGGCCCATGGGCTGCACAGGCCTGGCCTGGCCTGCAGCAGCCTCCCACCCACCCAGCCAGCCTGTTGGCTGTACTTAGGCAGAAGAAAGAAGAGAGTTTTCTGGGGTTTGTTCATTTTAAAATGTGTGTTCACAGAGACGTGTTCAACTTTCTTAGTGGTTTAACAGGTTGTCAGTTCCCAAAACCAATCAATGTGCAAAACCAGCACAGAGGGGCAGTGAGCTCACAGGAGCCATGTGGGTCCCACGGGTCCCTGTAGAGCAGGCCTGTCATTCTGAGAGCTATGGCTTCAACTGGCATGACAGTTTTTCTCTTCTCATAAATGGCAGGGCCCAAGAATCCTCCTTCTGGTGAAGTTCACATTTGGGTCAAAGACGTCAAGGACCTGCTGCAGTTGCGTCCATCTGGAGTTGACTCCTTTGTGAAGTGGTGAGTGCATGAGCACAGTGCTCCTCCTGCTCTATGCCCCCACAAAGGGCTGTGTTTCGTACTCTGTTCTCAGGCTCACCAAGCTGTGCCTCCATACTGGAAAGCCTTTGCATTGCACTGGGAGAATTGTAGGGGAGAATTGCCCTTGTTATTCACCGGTGGCCAAACTAGGAAAATCCTTGCTGTGATAAAACTCTTGGTCAATGTTCAATGGTTCATGCTGTGTGTTTTTTTCTCTTAAAGCTATGTGCTTCCAGATACCAGTAAGAAGAGCTACCAAAAGACCCGAGTCATAAAAAGAGACACAAACCCTGTTTTCAATCACACCATTGTGTATGATGGCTTTCATACGGAAGATCTGAAGGATGCCTGTGTTGAACTGACTGTGTGGGATCATGAAAAGCTTACCAATCATTTCCTTGGAGGAATCAGGCTGGGCCTTGGGACAGGTGAGAATTTTCCTTTATATTAACTCAATTACTGTATTGCTGAGCTACAAGGTAAAGTGGGAAGTCACAGAGTATTTTCCTGTTGGAGAGAAACCAGGGATCAGATGTCTCAGTAACTGGTACCTGCACTATTCCTTGGATGGAGGGGGCCCTGGTACCATGGTAACAACCCTCTGTTCCCACATTTTCTGCCAACATCTGATCTGAGGTCTGGCAAAACTCAGGAATCTCCTTGGGTGCCTCAGAGAGTTTCCCTGCTATTACAAGAAAACAGGCTGCATGACAAACCAACATTATATTGGTGCTCTTCCTAGGGAAGAGTGCTCAGGGATGGACTGGAATGTCACACAGGACAGCACCATCTGGTGACTGTCCAGCCTTGAAGTGCTCTCCAAGAGATTTCACAATGTTGCAATCAAGGATAATTGTTGCTTGGGGGACAAGGCTCATGATAGCTGGAAGGTCTGCTTTGCAGGTGCACTGTGGCTATTGGATTTGCCAGTATGTTCTCTGTTTTCCACCTCTAATGCCACCGGGTAGGTTATGAACTCTACAAAGGGAAGGGGCAACAAGAATAAGACATAAAAATACCAAATCCGAGATTAGCTGTGATCTAGACTTCTCACTCACTGACAAGTAATTGGCACCTAAAAATTTGGTTGAATTGGAACTGATGTACACTTTTCTGCTTTGGTATGCTTGATTCGTATAGAAATGAAACAAGAGAATTTTGGTTAGTATTCCACCTTATCCACAAGGAAATCTTTCAAGGGGAAAACCAAGCCTTTAAGACCTTTGCCGTCCAAAAGATGCAGAAAGGGCTTGAGCTCAGTATTGCTTTCCTTGGTATGTGATGTTTAGGGCTCTTGCATTTTATGGCTTTTGCAGTGACTTCATTCTGAACTTGGTGTAGAATGGGCATTTACAGGAAAACAGGAGGTGCTCAGGGTACAGCTTGCTGAGAGGGAGTCAGCAGCTTTTATGTTAGGACATTGTCTGCAGCAGCTACATCCCATTGACTATTTTTGCATGGAGTGGGAACTCTGTGTAACTCCCAAAGTTTTCTTGTTCTTTTCAGGTTTGAGCTATGGCATCTCTGTAGACTGGATGGACTCCACACAGGAGGAGGTGGCATTTTGGCAGGAGATGATGTTGGCTGCCAATGAATGGATCGAGGGATTGCTGCCACTGCGCTCACTGGCAGGGAGGAAGAAACTGAAATAATCCATTGCTGGTGCCATAGAACCATAGAAATGCCCAGTGTGTTCATTAGAATTAGAAAACTTCCTGCACCAGGGAGAAAGAGACCATCCACAGGGCTGCAAGTGTCAGGGTAGTAATGCAATTAATGGACATCACCTTGGAGGTGTTAATGTTAAGTACTAATCCACTCATGGAGGACATGGAACATGCCAAACTGATGCTATATATGATTTTGACTAAGAAGAAACTTAATTTGCCTTTTTGTTTAATCATTTATGTATTCAGTATATTTTAATTCCATTAAGCTCTTGGGAACATTTGCAAAAGGAAAAGGAGATACAGATACATTTTTTTTTTACCATTTCTTGTGCTGTTCTTCTTCTGTGCAGAGATGTAGTTGTACTGAAGCAGCAGCGTGGTATTATTCATACTCCTTGCAAGGGGTACACCTTGTACGTGGTGTACAATTGCTCCAAGTCACAGCACAGTTTGAGAATGGGAGCTTTGTGTTTGTCACCAGTGATAACACCTCTTTAACATGAGGAAAATTGAGTTCCAAGGTGCATCTAAAGAAAGAGAGGACTATTTGCAGCAGAAAATGGAGAATCCTGAGGAGGATGACAATGAGGAATTTGATATATTAATTTCTTTCTGGTTTAATTTAAAAGAGTGCAGGGATGCTTTTAGAGATAGTGGGATTTTGCAAGCAGGGGCTGTTTTACTGTCTTTCCCACAGACTTCCTAAGTGCCCTCACGCAAGTTTCTTTGTGAAAGGAGAGTTTTGAGTGCAATATAAACTAAAATGTTTGCCCAAATGTAAAATATGGCTACATTGCTAGCAGGCCTAAGCACACCTTTGCAATGCCTTATGTGCAAAACATTTCAATATGAACTAATGAGGTAGGAGACAGTCTCATGTTAGCCTGGTGTCAGGGATGAAAGGTCAAAATCACACTGGAATGCAGGAGATACTGGAAGCTGATGGGAGAGGTAAGTAGGGAGTGAGTGAATATGAAGGGAGTGCAAAACTACAGTTTCCTTGGGGTCTCCTGCCTCTGCATCTCCTGCTGCCTCTCTAGTGTTCCTTTCACCTGATGCCTGTTAGTGAGTTGTCTGCAGCTGGAATTTCCCTATTGCCAGTAGCTTGCAAAAAACTTTGCGTCTGGCACATTGACCACTGGTGGAGTGGTGTTGTGAATACATTTTGAATTGCAGCTTTGTAATTTTTATTTCGGATGTACATATTGTGATTAAATAGAATGTTTTTCTTTAGTTATCAGTTGGTCGTGTTGTACCTATTTTTATCATTTTTATCAAGCAAAAGAGGTGTTAAATTTTGTTGTGCCATTTTTGCCAAAGGGCAAGTGAAATGTCATGAAGAAATAATTTTTATAACTATCCCATTTTAGATTTTGGCTCTCTGATTATTTTGATATTCTTCCTTAATGGATTTATTTTATTTAACTCAAGCCTACTGTGAATTTTCAGCTTAGAAAAGATGGTTATAAGTAAATGAATAGAAAAATGTACACTTACAGTAACAAGACCTTTTCTTTAAATGGAAACATTTGGGAGACAATCACCAACTTTCATGGGGAAAATAAAGAATTAAAGTGATTTTGCAGTTGGAAAAAGACAATACTTGGAAATGCACCAGACATAGTAATAAAAGCACTAGAGCAAGAGAATTAAGCAATGACTGTCTAATGAAGGAGCTGATACATCTGTAACATCAGCCCAAAAATACGTTGTAGGGAGCCCAGCCTGACATGTTTTGTTACCAAGATTTAGTCATTTGTAGCAATGGGGAACAAAGCGACAGGGACCCCCTTATTCATCCAAAGAAGATCACTTGATTGTAGTAATTGCACCCTTTTTATACCTATAATCTCTGCCTGACAGAAACCAAAACAAAGCCTAACAGAACCTAACAGAAAGAGGGCACCCATTGGCTGGCTCAGCTGCAGTGCTGCTGTCCACGTGTCCTTCCACCCAATCAGCTTCCCACTCATCCGCTGTCCACGCGTTCCTCCAGCCAATCACAGTCTCACTTCCCGCTGTCACTAACTGACTCTCCTCACTTATAATCATTGCTCACCCCTCAGCCGACTTCCAACGTCCAGCCTGCAGCTGTGCCTTCCCCACAGGGCCTTCTGGTGAGCAAAAGCCTTAACCACTTTAACAATTATAACCCCATATCCTACAGTCATTTATTACCTTTGTGGGATAAAATAACAATACGAGGCCTAAGTTGAGAGTTTCAAAAAATATTATCTTTACCTTATGAATGGGCCAGGAGCCAAAAGTCCTTTAAAAAAGGCCTTTATTAAAACAGCCCCGAGTGGGGAACCCGAGGGGTCGCGCACACCGCCACTGCTCCCTAGTTGTGACAAGAAAGGACATGGTGATCAGTTTTGTCTGGTGACAGAGCTGGGGCTTCCATACTCACGGGAGTCCTCAGGAAGACAATTGTGGCTCATGGTCAAGGGAGGTCATGTTGGTCGGGTGCTGTTGGGTCATGGCGATGGGACAAAGCAGCTCCGGATGGTAAGTTTGTTCTCTCCACTAATTTCCTGACCTGGGAACACTATTCTCAGTTCCAGATGTTATTTGGGCTCGTTGTTTTAAGGGTTTTAAACTCTGAATAGTGTCCCATGAGCACTTGGGGTTGCATACTGTGCGCCATTTTAGGGAGCAGTGGAGATGGAACCCGCCGCAAAAAGGATACAGGTACGGGGTTGGGGATAGACAACTGGGAACATTAACAATCAACAAGAACATTAACAACAGGGTGATTAAGGCATTAACAAAACTTTTACTTGGGGATTTATTCCCCACACCTTAAGTGCTGAACTTGTGAATATTTATACATATGTATGACTTACCTACTACAAGGAGCCCTGATCACAGGGGTGGGTGGTAGCTTGTTGCAGTGAAGTTACCCACAGGACTGCTGCTTTCTTCCCTGGGTGCTTCCCTATTCTCAGGAATAGGGATATTCCTGGGGGACAACTTTCTGGGAAAGTGGTTGATAATGCCACAGGCTCCTTCTCAGGTCCAGGTCTCTTCCTGGTGTGTTCAGCTGATTCCATCATGAAAGTGGAGTTAACCCACCTCCTTCTCCTCATGCAGCATTAGTACATGCCAATGTTGCCAAAAGTGCTGTTTGCATCAATAGAACTGGAAATGGTTGTGTTGATCTTTCAGAAAATTAACATCTTTTTCATTGGTGGTGTCAGTAAGGGGAGAAAAAGTGGGCCAGTTCATCCCAGCAGAGTTACTTTTATGAACTTGGCACGGGACTTTGTGAGACTATTTTTGTATTCAGGTTCCAATGAGGATTTTTTGTTAATCTTTTGCTGGCTTGTTTATTTAAATTAAACCCTGATTAACTTAAGAAGCTTTCTTTGGCACTTAATAGTTTATCAGAGTAAAAGATTATACTGCCAAACTGCACACACTTTTGACATGCAGCTGATTCTGAGGCAGTAAAATTTGCTATGCTCTGTTTCACTTACTGCACAGAAAGCACTTTATCATAAAATGATTTAAGGCACATTTTTTGCCAGTGTCCTCTGGAGAAGCAGAGGATCTTGTGGGTATAAGGTTAATGACCGGTTTGTATATGGTTTATGATGCTGACATTTGTTGTCTGTGAATGCTGAACCTCACAGAGACTGGCCTGTAGGTGTGTGCTGATGTCAACAAGGGTTGTAACTGGAGAAAAAAAAAAGAAAAAACAGATGGAAAGTTTTCTGACTGTATTTACTAGTTCGTTGTAGAATGGGTCAAGCAAAGCTACATGAAAAGTAAGACTTTGTGCCAGTGAATGTGGTTTGTATCTCTCGTTTCCCTGCACATGAAGGTGTCCAACACTGCAGTGGGAGCTGACTGTGACCCCTGGGCTCTTGCTGGACACAGAAGTGACCCCACGGTCTGAGTGGGCCCAGGGAATGCTGCCTGACAGCCTGGGACCCTTGGGCACCATCCTTTTAATATCAAACACAAACCTCAGCATCTACAGTAGACCTGGCAGCTGCTATCCATGAGGCCTTCTGCATTTGCGAGTCAATGTGCTTTCTTCCAGGTTATGTCTGATTTATATAACTTTTTCTTGGAAATCTTCCAGGATTTAAAAAAAATGAAGAAAAAGCAAAATGCTAGAAAGTATTTCTGCTTCATCAGGAGAATATAATGTATGGCCTATGGCCATTCAAAATTATTCATATGACAGGTATCAGAAACTATTAAAAATAGTTTAGGAGCTAACTACAGAAGAGAAAGAAAGAATTTTTGAATCCTGAATGAGTGTTTCAGCAGAGATGGAAAGAAGTGGCTGAATTAATTATCCATTATTTTATATTTGCCTAGCTTTATCCTTCACCAAGGCGGGGAAAAACCTGAAGTACTGTAGAGATTTGGAGAAAAAAAAAAAAGCTGGCTAAATAAACCCTTCTAATAATGCAATCTGTTGAAATTAAAAATGCTGCATTATTTTCAAGCTTGTTAAGTCAAAAAGGTATCAAATAGACTGGTGTATCAAAAATTGAATAAATAGATTTCTGATCCTGATAACTAAGCATGAGTAAATTCAGCACCAGGTTTGATTATTTGTTTTAGTTGTCTGTTTTGTATGTGAAGATTTTTCGTGGCTCAATCCTTTTTCTTTTCCACCTGCTTACTTTGCACCCCTCGGGTGCTAGAGGGGACACCTGGGAACAAGTGTCCCTCTGAGCACTGTTACAGAGGTTGTCAGCAGAAATTGGGAAGCTCACTGTGAAGGCCCATGCAAAATCAGTGCACATATGTGCAAGGTACATGTCCCTGGAGCTCCCGACAGCATTGCTGCTGCACAAGATCCACTGACCACTGGAGAGCCCTTGAAACAGAAATCCCTTCTCATTAGGTCAGCCAGGAGCAGCCACTGCTTCCAGGGGATGCATTTTTGGGAGGTTCCTGGTACTGGTGGCTTTGCCAGAAGGAGCAGGTCTGCCAGGGTGAAGTTTGTGGGGCTGCAGGAGGGGTTGCTCAGAGTGTTTGGGACAGCAGGACCAGCTCCTGGCCTGTCCTGAGCAGGAGATGGCTGATTTGGAGAAATGAGGTTTGAGCAAGAGTGGGCAACTCCAGAGTGGCCATTCCCACTTTTGGAGTGCTTTCCACCTTCACCCGCACTTCTAAACAGGTTGGTTGGTTGGTTGAAGGTGCAAAAACTGAGCATAAATCTCCAGAAGACCCATGGAGAAATTATAAATGGTTTAGAAGAGATCTTTTTCTTCTGAGAGAGAGATGGGAATGATGAGGAGCTGGATATGTCTCCGGGAGCCTTGCAGGAGTCTAGCAGCCCCAAATCAAGCTCCTTTATTTTGCATTAATTTCCCATTCACTCAGCTTAAAAAGCCTCATCTCAGATAGTAAAGTCTGAATGAAGGCTGAAGCTGCCAGCAGGCAGCAGCATCCTGGAAGGAGTGCAAAAACACAAACAGGAGCAGGGGCTGAGCTTGCTAGGGTCTCACCAGGTTCATGCTTGAGAGCTCCAGTAAATATTCCTGCTGGAAAGGGACTGATTGTCCTGGCTTAGGGCAAATTTGGGGGAAAACCTCTGGAAGGAACCCCCAGAAAGCAAACCCCCACGGCTCCTCCCCCCACCACCGGGTTTGGGAAGAATTTCCTCACAGAGAAGTGGAAAAAAACCCCCTGTTTATTTAACAAGCGAAACCACTCCCCAGCACAAAAAAATAAATGAACAACACCAGATGACAAAACCTCTTTCACCGCTCTGAAAGGATGACAAACTCAGAAAGTCTCTGTGGCGAGTGGTCGCCCAGTTATCAGTCTCCGGCGCTGGGGAATGACTGCTGCAGGTCACAGAATGCAGACTCCCAGTGTTTCTGGGTGTTTCCCAGGTCCCCATCCAGAACAGGTTCAGATGGTATTCAGGAAAGGGAAAAAAAAAAAAAAAACAGTCCAGGGAAAAAGTTGGACTGCCTAGCTAAACTAACTAATAAGCAAAAGCAAAAGCAAGGGCAAAAGCAAAAAGTAGGAGTGAGAGCAAAGTGACAGCAAGCAAGCCTGCAAGCAAGCAAGCAAGCCAAGCCTAGCCTCTCCTAAACACAGACCATGGGGGAGGTGAGCTGGATGATAACAAGACAAAACAAACCTTCACTTTCAGAGTCAGTCCTGAAAGCACAGGACATAATACCAAGCACAAACAGAACACACGACTGGGGATACAAGCACCATAACGTCACCCTAGGACATTCCACCCCTTATCTCCATATCGTGAACATACTACTAAACACCATGTAAAAACTTCATCAAGTAAAAACTTCCATCTTTCACTTACTCAGACACATTTCCTTCTATCTCACTTGCTCAGACCTTCGACACTTACACATTTCCTTCTGTCTCATGTCTGTGTGATCTAACGTACAGACAATGGTAGTAACATCCAGCAAACAATGA